CTGCTGTTAGCTCAAATTAGAGCTGCTGTTAGCTCAAAGTAGAGCTGCTGTTAGCTCATCGTAGAGCTGTAATGCTAATGGATGTAATATAGCTCGAGGCAGAGCCGCAGAAAAGGCCAGATAACACCAGTTGTGAGTGTGTTTGGTCAAACTAGAGATGCTAATAGCTAAACGTAGAGCTGCTGTAAGCTCAAATTAGGGCTTCTGTTAGCTCAAAGTAGAGCTGCTGTTAGCTCGTCGTAGAGCTGCAATGCTAATGGATGTAATATAGCTCAAGGCAGAGCCGCAGGAAATGGCCAGATTACACCAGTTGTGAGAGTGTTTGCTCAAAGTAGAGATGCTAATAGCTAAACGTAGAGCTGCAGTAAGCTCAAATTAGAGCTGCTGGTAGCTCAAAGTAGAGCTGCTGTTAGCTCGTCGTAGAACTGCAATGCTAATGGATGTAATATAGCTCAAGGCAGAGCCGCGGGAAATGGCTAGATAACACCAGTTGTGAAAGTGGACCCAATCAGTTCCTACCAATATTATCATGATGGTCTGAATACGTTGGATAGGGAGGGATGGGGGGAAAAGAAACACTGCAGAAGCACGATCTGTTGTCTGGAAGAACTCAACAGGGCAAGCAAGATTTGTTTTTTTCATCAAAACGAGTTTGGTGCCATAATTTTGTGATTATGCAGCAAAACATAGCGCATGACGTCATTCTTGAAGGCAGTATAAATCCATGCAGTGGAGCTAGTGAGCTAGTTCGGACGAGTACTAGCACAGCTAGCACCCCAAATTTGGTGTCGATGGGATCTTTCAAAGAAGATACTGTGTCCTAACTGCCCTTTCTGACAAATGGAGAGGTGAATCCGTTGTTATATGTTTTGAGCTAACCAGGCTTTAATGGTGTTGGGGCGGCGGTTCAATCCTGTGACCTGTGACAATCGCTTATGCCCAGAGATGCCCTACAGCTAAGCACTCTAGTGGTCATCCGATCAGTGACCGTTCAATATTTTTCGCAGATGTAGAAACTCACGCCTCCTGTGAATCCACACAAGCTCGTGGGATGCAAGGAGCGTACAAGACGTTTTCTGTTTTAATGGTGCTGTTTGTACATAGCGCGGAACTCACGATATTCATTTCGCTTATATCTTTCTTAACACTTAGATCCACCGACATGGTCAACAGTTATACCGTGACGAGTTAGCAAGAGCACCACATCTATGTTTAGAACAGGGCGTACTTTAATCGATTGTGTAACATATGCCTGGTACTACATAGACCATATCACAGGAGACCATGTAAACCATGAATCTATTCATAGCAGACACTTTGTGTTCTTCGATTCTAACAACAAAGTGTCTCAGATTGCATCACCTCTTGTCACGTGTTGCAGACTCCACACGAAGCTTGGCTGATCCCATGTCAAGCGTTTAGGTGAGGAAAAATATGGAAATAGAGATAGTGTGTGTGTGTGTTTGTGTGTGTGGAGGGGGGGGGATGGGTGTTTGTTTGTGTGAGTGTGCATGTGTGTGTTTCCGGGCGTGAGCGCATGATGTGAAAATATCATGATGTGTCACTTAAATGTAAGGATGGACTCGGATGAAGAAGCAAGGATTAATTTATAGAAAAGAATAAAAGACCAAGGAAGTACTAGTAACGCTATAACGTCGGTAAACGTCGGTAAACGTCGGTCAACGTCGGTAAACGTCGGTCAACGTCTGTCAACGTCGGTAAATGTCGTGCAAATTTATCGCATGAGCTGATTGTTAAGACATTGGTCGTGTTAGTGATAATTATAGAGCAGCTCGTTAATGTATTGGCCTAGAAATAGACATCAACGTGACAAATTATCTCAAAGTATTCATGTACATATTCGGGACACACAGTTGCTACTGATTACAATACTAACCTCCTAGTATGAGTTGTTTCTGCTCTATGGATTATTGGTATTGAATTCGGATACATTGCCCTACATGGCAAGAGAATTGAGTTTGGAAGAATTGTTGAAGTAAGTGGATCATGGATGATTGTGACTGGACTTCGGAGGCACTCTCACCACTTCCACCATTATGGACCAGCAGAAGGTCAACTGGGTATCCCCCACAGCGAAATATACCATTTTATGGTACGATTTACACGGCTCATCACCACGCAAACCCCAATAGCGGTTACCCAGAGACGACCTCAGAAGGCTCCTTTGCGAATTATGCACTTCAGCATTCCTTATTCACCTCTTGGAACACACCAACATCTACCTCCAGAGTGCTCCAAGATCATCCTTGGCTGGACACTGCAGTAGACAACTTCAGGCCACCTCGACCAGAGTTCCAGAGGAACAAGGATACACGCGCTAATGATCCTTCAACAGCAACTGACGATAACCCATGCTCTAATCCCATGACACCGGCAATGGACAATGGCCAAAGATCGCAAAGCAACCGTAACCAAACTGCTAACCATCCCGTTTCTGTTTCAGATCACTACACAGGCCATGCACACGTTGGGTATGAGTCGGAAGATGGCGAATACTCAGGCAAATCTGCCGACCTGGAGGTTCACAATATCGAACATGTTCCAGTGGATCTTAGGATGTCTAGCTTATCGCACAAAAATCAGCATGTCTCCGAGTCTAGTTCTGAGGCAGATTTTCAACTTCAAGCTGACTTCCCTCAACCCGAAACTTCGCTTTACAAGGAAACTGGGCCATTGCTTGAACGCCAGCATGATATGCTTGATGGCAGACATTCACGTCCCGTAGAAAAGCCGTATGAATGTAAGTTTTGCGATAAATCATTTTCTACTCAGTCCAGTCTAACATCTCATGAACGTACGCACCGAGAAGAGAAACCTTTCAAGTGTAAAGTGTGCGATAAAGTCTTCGATTGGCGATCTCTTCTTCTCCGCCATGTTCGAGGTCACTCAGGAAACAAACCCTTCACGTGCAAGTTCTGCGCTAAATCATTCAGTGATAAATCCAATCACACTACTCATGAACGGTACCATACCGGAGCGATGCGGTTTAATTGTGATCACTGTGATCAAGGTTTTCACTCCCGTTCCAATCTTAAAATTCATTTACGCATCCACACTGGGGAGAGACCATACAAGTGTAAAGAATGTAAAAAGGCATTCATACAACCTTCACATCTCACAGATCATCAACGCGTCCATACAGGAGAGAAACCTTTCAAATGTAACGTTTGTGAGGAGGCGTTCAGAACTGCATCAAATCTCGCAGGTCATCAACGCATCCATACTGGAGAGAAACCGTTCAAGTGTAAAATATGTGAAAAGTCTTTCTCTCGGAAATCTAATCTAACAGTACATGAAGGAATCCACCTCTGAGAGAAACAATAAAAGTCTGTCAATGATGAAAAAACACTTGGAAGACTATCAAAATGTTAACATTAACAAAAGGCTTCTTTTCCAAATTATGGAAGATGTTCATTATACATGTACTTGTAGGCCCTTTTTGAAATGCAAGTAGCCAAATCTGAACACCACGCAAAGGCCACTGCTTACATGCTGACTTCCATATTTGTAGCATTACAATGATTTTCATTATCATTGTTTTAGAGTTGATATATTGTACAGTTTCTAGCCATGTTACTCAATGCACTTCGTACACGTATTTCCATATCTACCATTCACAAAAAAACAGTTGAGCTGATCATGTGGCTCGTGGTTTATAAAATCTGTACTTTTTCGCGCATCTTTACTCTTCTGCACGCATGCTGGGTATGGATCCTTTCCCTAGAAGAGACGCAGTGCTGTTTTGAAGTAGGCACATGATGCTAAATATGTGAGATACTTTATTCCTGTATGTAGATGTCTACCTCTGGTCTCATTTGTATAGACCCGTTCAAGTCCCCGTCAAAACATTTAAAATCTTCTAATAAAAAGATTGTCTCAATGTTCATGTGCTGGAGGGAAATGTGGAAAGGGGGAAATGACTGTGATCACCAAGACTCCAATCTGATACAATCGATTATGCCCAGCCATACTTTACCCATAATCACTCTACCACTACTAGTCATCCAAGCAGCGTCTGCTCAACATTTTCCTCAGACTTACATGTAGCAACTCTCGCTTCCTATGAATGCACAAAATCTAGTGGGGTTCAAGGAACGTACATGACGTTTAGGATTTAAATGTGGTGTTTGTACATCGTGCGAAACTCAGGATATTCATGATACAAGTGCACGACGATGAAGGTTGACACTTCGTTCAGTGGTTTTTCAACTTTGGTTACGTAGTCTTGTTACCTTTTTGCGTTTCATCTTGTGGTTGTATTGCATTTGTATCATGATTTTTTATGTGGCATTTCTAACACCTCAGGATATGCATTCCGCTTATATCAGATTCTTTCTTAAAATTTAGCTCCACCGAAATTGTCGACAGTTATAACGTGTGGAGGTAGCAAGAGGACCATACCAATGCTTAGAACTGGGCATAGTGTAATAGATCATGTCACGTATACCCGGCACTACCTATATTATCATTTATCACAAAAGCCGATATACACCATGCATCTATTCATAGCAGACACCTTTTTGTAATATTCTAACAGCAAAGTGTCTTTGATTGCATCGCCTCTTGTCAGGTGTTACAGAGTCAGCATGAAGCTTGATTGATCCCATGTCTCGCGCTAAGGTGAAGAGAAAATTAATATGGAAATAGAGAGAGTGTTTAAGTGTGTTTGTGTGGGGGGTTGTGTGTGTGAGTATGTATGTGTGTGTTTCCGGGCGTGAGCTCATGATGTGAAACTATCATAATGTGTCAGTCAAATGTAAGGGCCTAGAAAGTTAATAGACATGAACTTAAAAACGTGACAAATTATCAGAGTGTTCATGTACTTATTCGGTAAACACAGTTGCTACTGATTACAATACTTACATGTACCTCTTAACATGAGTTGTTTCTGCTCTTTGGATTATTGATATTGAATTCGGATACTTTGCCCTTCATGGCAAGATAACTGCGTTTGGAAGTTTAATTGAAGTACGTGAATCATGGATGATTGCGATTGGACTCCCGAGGGGAGTGTCGACTCTGACCCACGCTCACCACTGCAACCATTAGTGATATGGACCAGTAGAAGATCAACTGTGTGTCCTCCTAACATACCATATTATGGTACGACTTATACAGCTCATCACCACGCATACGGCAATAGCGGTAATACACAGACGACCTCAGAAGGCTCTTTTGCGAATTATGCACTTCAGCATTCCTCATTCCCCTTCTCGAACACACCAACATCTACCTCCAGTGTGCTTCAAGATAATCCTTGGCTGGACATTGCAGCAGATAACTTCAGACACCCTCGTCCAGAGTTCCAGAGGAACAAAGACACACGCGCCAATGAGCCTTCAACAGCAGCTGACGAAAACCCAAGCCTGAATCTCATGACATCAGCAATGGACATTGACCAAAGATCGCACAACAACAGTCGCCAAACTGTTAACTACCTCGTCTCCGTTTCAGATCACTACACAAGCCACGGGCACGCTGGGTATGACTCCGAGGATTGCGATTACTCAAGCAAATATACCGATGTGGACGATTACAATATCGGACATATTCCAATGGATCTTAGGGTATCTAATTTATCTGAGGATCCCAAGCGTCACAATTATCGAACGCACAACATTCAGTATACTTCCGGTTCGAGTTCTGAGGAAGATATTCAACTTCAAGCTGACCATCTTCAACCCGAAACTTCTCTTTGCAAGGAAACCGGGCCTTCGCTTGATCGCCAGCATGATGTGCTTGATCGCGCACTTTCACATCCAGTAGAAAAGCCGTATAAATGTAAGTTTTGCGATAAAACATTTCCAACTCACTACTGTCTAACATCTCATGAACATGTGCACCGAGAAGAAAAACGTTTCAAGTGTAAAGAGTGCGATAAAGTCTTCGATAGGCGACACAATCTTGTCCGTCATGTTCGAGTTCACTCAGGAGATAAACCCTTCACGTGCAAGTTCTGCGCTAAATCATTCAGTGATAAATCCAATCACACTACTCATGAACGGTACCATACCGGGGAGAAGCGATTTACCTGTGATCACTGTGATCAAGGTTTTCTACACAGTTCCCAACTTAGAATTCATTCACGCATTCACACTGGAGAGAGACCATACAAGTGCAAAGAGTGTGACAAGGCATTCAGATACCATTCACATCTCACCGTGCATCAACGCATCCATACTGGGGATAGACCATACAAGTGTAAAGAATGTGGCAAAGAATTCACACAACGATCACATCTCACAGTTCATCAACGCATCCATGCCGGAGAGAAACCTTTCAAGTGTACCGTTTGTGACAAAGCGTTTGGGACTCCATCAAATCTTTCAAAACATAAACGCATCCATACTGCATGAAAACCCTTCAAATGTAACGTTTGTGGCGAATCATTCAGGAATACTTCACATCTTGCAAGTCATCAACGCATCCATTCTGGCACGACGCCATTTTCGTGTAAAGTATGTGGAAAGCCTTTCTCTCGGAAATCCAATCTAACGGTACATGAAGGAATCCATCCCTGAGAGAAACTTATCAGCGACTGTGACAAGTATTTCAATCGTACAAAACAACACTTGGGAGACCATGCAAACTACTAACACCGTTGAACAAAAGGTTTCTTTCCCAGATTAAGAAAAATGTTCATTATAAGTGCGTTTTGAAATGCAAGTAGCCCAATCTGAACTCCATGCAAAAATCAATTCTTACATGCTGACTTCCATATTTGAAACATCACAAACATTATCATTATCATTGTTTTAGAGTTGATATATTGTTCAGTTTCTAGCCATATTACTCAATGCACTTCGTACACGTGTTTCCATATCTACCATTCACAAAAAAAAAACAGTTGAGCTGATCATGTGGCTCGTGTTTTATAAAATCTGTATTTTTTCGCGCATCTTTACTCTTCTGCACGCATGCAGAGGTATAGATCTTTTCCTCAGAAGAGACGCTGTGCTGTTTTGAAGTTGGCACATGATGCTAAATATGTGAGATAGTTTATTCCTGTATGAAGATGTCTACCTCTGGTCTCATTTGTATAGACCCGTTCAAGTCCCCGTCAAAACGTTAAAAAATCTTCTAATAAAAAGATTACCTAAATGTTCCGATGATTTGCTCGAGGGAAATGTGGAAAGGGGGAAATGACTGTGACCACCAGGACTCCAACCTGATACAATCGATTATGCCCAGCCATACTCTACCACTAATCACTCTACCACTACTAGTCGTCCAAGCACCGACTGCTCAACATTTTCCTCAGACTTACATGTAGCAACTCTCGCTTCCTATGAATGCACAAAATCTAGTGGCGTTCAAGACGTTTAGGATTTAAATGTGGTGTTTTTACATTGTGAGAAACTCAGGATATTCATGATACAAGTGCACGACCACGAAGGTTGACACTTCGTTCAGTGGCTTGTCAACTTTGGTTACGTAATCTTGTTGTCCTAGTGTTTTATTGCACTCCTATCATGATTTTATGTGGTATTTCTAACACCTCATTCCGGATATATCAGATTCTTTCCTAAAAATTAGCTCTACAGAAATTGTCAACAGTAATAACGTGTGGAGTTAGCAAGTGGACCATACCAATGCTTAGAACTGGGCAGAGTGTAATAGATCATGTACCGTATACCCGGCACTACCTCAAAGGTCAAAAAGAATGGTTCCACCAATTATTTTACATACGTTGTAACGCTGCGTTTTATGCACGTAACTAAATGCTAAGGCAATCATCAGACAACTAATGCTATTGTCGCGGGATAGCTTGTTCTTAGTGTGGGGGATACGCATGGGCATGTGTGAGTTATCAATGCAGGGCATGCATGGGAAGAGCGAGTGATAAGAAATATATCACTGGAGGGCATGCGAAGTAGGCGCGAACTATGCATTGAGCGTGCAGAGGCGGAGAAACCACCAGGCAGGGCAAGGGTAAGCGATGGGGGCACTGGGAAGGGGTGTGATGTGTGGCGGAGGAAGCCCACTGTGGTGTCCACATTCAACAGCCGCGGGTATTCAGAGGATTTGGTGGTGATAATGGTAGCACGCGGTGGCTATGTCACGGCAGAGTAGGTGGAGAGGTAGAACTTGTTTTGGTGTCTGCACTTTGATACCAACTCTGATCTCTTTTTGAGCAGAGTGTGAGGCATCTTGAAGGTGATGATGCGCAACGTTTCTGCTAAACACAAGCAGCACCTTTTGGATATGTTGCTGTAGGACTTGGCCCGATCTATGACTGCCCGTTTGATTCTGTATTCCTCACCTTGGTCAACCAGCGCCCATGTGTGCTTGGATAGCTCGGTCTTGGTACGGTACTTTTCATGCCGCATGCTGGTTAGGTGGTTGCCATAGCTCACCTTGAAGGGCGCCTCGCACAGGCCGATGTATTGCCTTTCCTCGCCGGTACTTGGGGCTGTGACGGAAGCCTGGTACACCGCTTCCCCCTCCAAGCATCCGCCGCCCAAAGGGCATGATGGCTTGGCTCGGCAGTTGCACCCTGCCGCAGATCTCTCTTCACCAGGCGTTAGTACCTTTTGGTTATGTCCCTTCATCAGGTAGGACATGTTGGGCATGCACGAGTAGCTCAACTTCAATGTGTTTCTGTCTAAGATCTTGTGTAGTGGCGACGCGGCAGGGAAATCCGCTGGCACATGCTGCGCTATCATAGCACAGCCCTGTATGCTTGTGCCGCGTTGGTGAATGCCTCCTCGTCGCACGAGATGTCGGACACCCGGCTATTGATCATTTCAGGTAGATTCCGGAGTATATTGGGCGGGTGATTCGACTTGGTGTGTATGTAGCTGGGTGCGTCATTCGGTTTGCGGTATGGGTAGTAGCGGCCGCTGGCTAGATCAAAGGTGACGTCGAGGAAGTCCACTGTCCTCTGGTTGGTACTGATGGTTACTCTTAGGCCAACGTCTTAGAATAGCTTCGTGATTGCCTTGCGGATGGAATCTCCCTCGTGTCCTGTAGTAGTCCTGAGCACGGCCAGTCCCGGCGCTACCTCTTTTATCATTTATCACAAGAGCCGATATAAACCATGCATCTACTCTTAGCAGACACTTTGTTGTAATATTCTAACAGCAAAGTGTCTTTGATTGCATAACCTCTTGTCAGGTGCTGCAGAGTCAGGATGAAGCTTGAGTGATCCCATGTCTCGCGCTAAGGTGAAGAGAAATATGGAAATAGAGAGACTGTTTTAAAAGTGTGTTTGTGGAGGGGGGGGGTGTGAGTATGTATGTGTTTGTTTCCGCGCGAGAGCTCTTGATGTCGAACGATCAAAATGTGTCAGTTAAATGTAAGGAATAAAGAGAACAAATTCAGCAGTCATCGCCACACTACAACGAATCATTGAATGTATATTTAATCATTGTTCAGCATGGTTACTCTTCAGTCACGACTTTCCACTGATGAATGTGACAAGAAAATTAATTCTGGCAAACTTTCATGACTTCGTTGTAGCTTGGCGATGAGTGCAGAATTTGTTCTCTTTATTGCTATTATTAAATGTAAGGGCCTAGAAATAGACATCAACCTAAAATTGTGAAAAAATAGCAGAGTGTTCATGTCATTATTCGGTAAACACAGCTGCTACTGATTTCAATACTTACCTTCTAACACGAATTGTTCCTGCTCTTTGGATTATTGGTATTGAAATCGGATACTTTGCCCTGTATGGCAGGAGAACTGGGCGTGGAAGAATTACTCATTGAATCATGGATGATTGTTGCAGGACTTCGGAGGGGAGTGTCGACTCTGATGCACTCTCACCACTGCCACCATTAGTGATATGGCCCAGCAGAAGTTCAACTGCGTGTCCTCCACTGCCAAATATACCATATTATGGTACATGTTATGGAGCTCATCAACACGCCAACGCTGATAGCGGTAATCCAAAGACGACCTCAGAAGGCTCTTTTGCGAATTATGCACTTCAGCATTCCTCAATCACCTCTTGGAACACACCAATATCTACCTCCTGTGTTCTTCAAGATCATCCTAGGCTGGACATTGCAGCAGACAACTTCAGGCACCCGAGACCAGAGTTCCAGAGAAACAAAAATACACGCGCTAATGATCCTTCAACAGCAACTGACGATAACCCATGCTCTAATCCAATGACATCAGCAATGGACAATGGCCAAACATCGCAAAGCAACCGTAACCAAACTGCTAACCATCCCGTTACTGTTTCAGATCACTACACAGGCCGCGCCCACGTTGGGTATGAGTCGGAAGATGGTGATCACTCAGGCAAATCTGCCGACCTGGACGTTCATTATATCGAACATGTTCCAGTGGATCTTATGATGTCTAGCTTTTCGCACAACAATCAGAAAATCTCAGAGTCTAGGTCTGAGGAAGATATTCAACTTCAAGCTGACTTTCCTCAGCCCGAAACTTCGCTTTGCAAGGAAACTGGGCCATCGCTTGATCGCCAGAATGATATGCTTGATCGCAGTCATTCACCTCCCGTAGAAAAGCCGCATAAATGTAAGTTTTGCGAAAAATCATTTTCTTCTCGATCCAGTCTAACAAGTCTTTTTTTTTTACAATGATCACAGCTCACAGGCAAATGCGAGAAATTGCATAGTGGGAGCATAGTGATGGTGAGGTATTTTGCCCTCAGCCGACCTGAGGTCTCGACGTCAAGGGGACATAAAACGCACCAAAAAAACAGAAGAAAAATGAAAGGAGTGACAGGTACATGATACGAAATGTTAGGAGGAGAGACAGTACATTGGAAGGAGGGGAATGATAAGACAGACAGTGCTAGGAGGAGAAGGAGAGAAAAGAAGAACAGACGGTATTGGGAATAGTATTTGGAGCGGAATTTGGAAGTCATGGGGTGAGGCAGATATGATGCTGATGATCAGAGATGGTCATGTACCCACGACCAGTCGTTGGTCTTCAAATAGCGGTTGGCTGCAACTTTGAAGTGTTGCAAGTTCTTGGTGCAGAAAGGACCAGAGAAGACTCCGGCGGGCAGCTGGTTCCAGACGGGGACAACTGCGTGAGGGTAGGCTCGACACAGGTTGTTTCGGGAACGGACTGGAAGTTCATTGGCCAGTTGGTGTGCGTGAGCATTACATCTCTGGAATGTACTACGGGTGGAGGGGACTGTTCGGTGTTGGGGCTGCTGGGGTGGCAGCATCCTCTGTAGAAGGGGATGCGCATCCGGACAATGCATCTTGTACAGGAGGCAAAGTGCTGCAACCATCCGACGAAGAGCAAGACTCGGCAGCACACACATTGGGGCGATGGCACGGATGGCCCGGGCTTGCACACGGTCGAGTCTTGCGAGATGGGATGGGGCCGCTCCCATCCAGACAATAGGGCAGTACTCCATCACTGGGCGCACAAAAGCATTGTAGGCTTGGGTGCGACTGGGCACGTCATGAACGTACGCACCGAGAAGGGAAACCTTTCAAGTGTAAAGTGTGCGATAAAATCTTCGATTGGCGATCTCATCTTGTCCGTCATGTTCGAGTTCACTCAGGAGACAAACCCTTCATGTGCAAGTTCTGCGCTAAATCATTCAGTGATAAATCCTATCATACTGCTCATGAACGGTACCATACCGGGGAGAAACGGTTTAGCTGTGATCACTGAGATGAAGGTTTTCACACCAGTTCCCAACTTAGAATTCATGTACGCATCCACACTGGACACAGACCATACAAGTGTAAAAAATGTGGCAAAGAATTCACAAAACGATCAAATCTCACAGGTCATCAACGCGTCCATACAGGAGAGAAACCTTTCAAGTGTAACGATTGTCACGAACCTTTCAGAACTAAATCAAATCTTGCACGTCATCAACGCATCCATACTGGAGAGAAACCGTTCAAGTGTAAAATATGTGGTAAGGTTTTCTCAAGAAAATACAATCTAACAGTGCATGAAAGAATCCGACTCTGAGAGGAACAATAAAAGCCGGTCAATGGTAAAAAAAAACATTTGGAAGACTAGCAAAATGTTAACGTTAACCAAAAGGCTTCTTTTCCAGGTTATGGAAAATGTTCAATATACATGTAGGCCCTTTTTGAAATGCAAGTAGCCAAATCTGAACTCCACGCAAAGGCCACTGCTTACATGCTGACTTCCATATTTGTACATCACAAACATTATCAATATCATTGGTTTAGAGTTGATATATTGTACAGTTTCTAGCCATATTACTCAATGCACTTCGTACACGTATTTCCATATCCACCATTCACAGAAAAACTCAGTTGCGCTTAACATATGGCTCATGTTTTATAAAATCTGTACTTTTCCGCCTATCTTTACTCTTCTGCACGCATGCTGGGTATGGATCCTTCCCCTAGAAGAGACGCTGTGCTGTTTTGATGTAGGCACATGATGCTCAATATTTGAGATTGTTTATTCCTATAATATAATGTAGATGTCTACTTCTGGTCTCATTTGTATAGACCCGTTCAAGTCCCCGTCAAAATGTTTAAAATCTTCTAATAAAAAGATTATCTCAATGTTCATTTGCTGGAGGGAAATGTGGAAAGGGGGAAATGACTGTGACCACCAGGACTCCAACCTGATACAATCGATTATGCCCAGCTATACTCTACCACTAATTACTCTACCACTACTAGTCATCCAAGCAGCGACTGATCAACATTTTCCTCAGACTTAGAAACTCTCGCTTCCTGTGAAACCACAAAACCACAACAAAACCACAAAATCTAGTGGGATGCAAGGAACGTACATGACGTTTAGGATTTAAATGTGTTGTTTTTACATCTTGCAAAACTCAGGTTTTTCATGATATAAGTGCACGACGCCTAAGATTAACACTTCGTTCAGTGGTTTCTCAACTTTGATTATATAATCTTGTTACCTTTCTGCGATTCCTCTTGTTGGTTTAGTGCATTTGAATCATGATAATGTGGCATTTCTAACACCTCAGGATTTACATTCCGCTTATATCAGATTCTTTCTACGAAATAATCTAGCTCCACCGAAAGTGTCAACAGTTATAACGTGGCGAGGTGGCAAGAAGACCATATCAATGCTTAGAACTGGGCATAGTGTAATAGATCATACATAACATATAATCAGCACTGCCTATATTATCATAATACTCATAAAAAGGACACACTTCAGGCTCATTACAAACATCTTGAAAGTTTTTGTCTTCACACGTATACTTTCAAGCCTTCTCGTCAGGTGAAATTCAGGCAAGGGAAAGGAACAGGAACAGTGGATTAAATACAGTATGAAGGTGATAAAACAGCGCAAAAAAAAGAAGATAGCTAAAGTAAACAGCGAAAATTGCAATAATGACACAAAGATGGAAGTGCGAGAAATCTCAATACGCGGGACATGCAGTGCGACAACAAGAGACAACCACTGGACATACATGTAAATAACGAGGTTTTGACGACCTACCTAACAGCCTAAGTATTTCACCTGACGAGAAGGCTTGAAAGTATACTTGTGAAGACAAAAAATTTCAAGATGTTTGCAATGAGCCTGAAGTGTGTCCTTTTTATGAGTATTATCGCGTTTTGTCTCAGAGGAAACTGTTTATCTATATTTTAAAGACTTATCACAGGAGACGATAATAAACCATGCATCTATTCATAGCGGACACTTTGTTGTCATCTTCGAACAGCAAAGTGTCTTTGATTGCATCACCTTTTGTCAGGTGTTGCAGAGTCAGCATGAAGCTTGGGTGATCTCATGTCTCGCGCTAAGGTGAAGATAAATATGGAAATAGATAGATTGTGCATGTGTGTTTGCGTTTGTGTCGGGGTGTGAGTGTGTATGTGTGTGTGTAAACTAATAATAATACTAATAATAATATAGCTACAAACACAACTAATTGCACAGTAAGCATTTCATTATGTCGATATGTATGTGTAAAATGTTGTACGATTATCGCAAGGCACACAACGAAAGGGAAAGCGAAGTTTTGTTCAGAACTGTTTTCTTGTTACAATCATCAGTGAACCTACGGAACAATGGAATGGAGACTACTTGAACCTAATCTTGTATGGACAGATAAAAGTGAAAGAAGTGGAAAAAGAGCGAAACAAAAAGGTGATAATCGTACAACATTTTACACATACATGTCGGCATATATGAAATGTTTACGGTGCAATTAGTTGTCTTTGTAGCTATATTAAAACTCCTGTCTCCGAAACGCTTGTTCACTAATAATACTACAAAAAAATGTATTGGCTACGGATGCACCTGCGAATTAGGACATGTGTCAAAAAGTGTTGAACGTTTTCGTTCCCTTCTTCTCAAAATACTACAGGGAATGATGAAAATATGCTAAGAGACTACAGCTACTTCGAAGTATAACTAAAGGAATTTCCGAGATACATCACTCCAATAATTTGTAGAAGTGACAAGGGAAAAATAGATGTGAATAGTCAAGAAAACAGCATGCATGATCCAATCAGTGACAAAAACGTATTGACAAGAAAAAGAGAGAAAATATCAAGAGATTATGGGATCTATTTCGCATCTTCACGACGAACAGTGCCAAACAACTGCAAAGACAACACATTCTCCTTCTGAACACAAAGCTCAGGTCCTAACTAACATATGTACAAAGCTTCCAACATTGCAAGAACATATTCCCTCTTTTTATTACCACTACATTTTGGTCGTTGGCCTTGAAATGAAAATGTAATTTCTGATCAGTAGTTGTAACCCTCATGCTGAACAGAAATTATGCCAACCCAAATGGGTTGGCATAATTTCTCCCCGGTCAGATTGTTCCGATCGGAAAGGGTGGTGGAAGGTGTTTAAATCTAGATACGTTCAAGCAGCATGCATGCCAGATATCTTTTACTAGTGGTGTTTGTACATAGTGGACAAATCAATATATTCATTGGGTTGAAATCATCTGAGGAAAATCGGTTGCTCCCCACAACAGAGCTCGCGCTTTCCGCCGACTGATTTGATACCTGGCTAAAGAGTGGTGATATTTTGCAGGCTAGCTTGATTCGAAGTTTCGGTTGACTTCTTGTGTGCTCTTGGTGGCAATCATGAGTTGATAAAATCAAGTCAGTAGGCGAATAGAGCAAGCCCCGGTGTGAGGAACAAAAACTTTCCATATGAAGTAATCGCCGAAGTTGCTAACAGTTATCGCCTGTTGGTATCTTCGTTACTTCTGTCTTCACCATAACTTGCTTCACCAACTATAGCAAGGCCAATAACACGGGAAATACATTAGCTGTAGTTTTAATTTTCATGTTTTTAGTGCGCACGCAACACACTCTTTTGTCTTTTCATTGCGTGAACAACTGTAACATGATAAAAGAACAATGATATTCAATGCATATCAGTGCCGAAAGCGGAGGTTAATGTTGAAGATCATGACATTGTCACATCTTGTATACCCTTCCTATAATATCTCCCTCTACGCTAAAGAACCTCCATAAAACTGTGTCTCAATTCATATATATTTTTAGCAACAAAGACTCTCTGTTGCACTTTCTCAAGTCTGGTGCGTGCCATGCATGTTTCACATTTTTCGATTCCAAATGAGGTGTGAAGGTGAAGACGAAATTTGAGAGATAGTTCATGGTGGGGAATTTTGTATGTGTGTTTAAGTGTGTGTGTGTCTGCGCGCGTTACATGACAATAATTACTTCGAAGTATACACATTGTGTCAGGTAAAGGGACAGTGCTAGAAATAGATATGAACTGTATTAACGTGTCGACTTGGCACACTGTACATCTACTTACTAAGGGGAAACACCAGCTGCTACTAATTACAAATATATTGGCTACGACCAGGAAGAGTTGTCTTCTTATTTGAATTGTTGATATTGAATTCGAATAACTTGCCGAATTTGGAAGGAGAATTAATTTGAAAAGGTGGTGAAAATTGGTCAAGGAAGTGAATCATGGACGATAGTGACTGCACTTCGGAGGGGTGTGTCGACTATGATGCACAATCACCATCGCCACCATTAGTGATATGGACAAGCAGAAGGGCAGTTCCACCGCCAGCTACATTACCTTACAATGCACCTTACACAGCTCTATACCCCGCAAACCACGATAGTGGTGAACAAATAGCGACCGCTCAGGTCTCCTATAGTTCTATTCAGGGTTCCTCATTCAGTTCTTGGAACACACAAACGTCTTCCTTCGGTGTACTTCAAGATTATCGGCTGAAGAGCGTTGCTGACAACGTCATGGACCCCCGACCCGAAATCCAGAGGGCGAAAGATACAAAGCCCAGTGAAGCTCCAACCACAGCTGTCTTAAACCTATGTTTGGATCCCATGACATTGGCAATGGACGACGATCACTGTACGCGAGACAACAGTAAAGCAACTTTAAACTATTCCGTTCCCGTTTCAGATCACTACACAGGCAGTGGGAACGTAACGTTAAACTCGGAGTATAGCAATTTCTCAAGCAATGCTGGCAATGTTAACGTTAACGGAGGCCGCAGAGTACATATTGCCGGATATGTGCCAGTGTCTTCCCAAGTGGCTAGCTTATCTGAGGATCCCAAGAATCACAATCGTGAAAGGATCAACAATCATCACACCTCTGAGCCGTTTTCTGAGGCAGTTTGTCAACTTCAAACTAACCATCGTCAACCAGAAACGTCACTCTGCGAGGAAACTGGGAACTCACCTGATCGCCGGCATGATCCGCTAGATCGTGGACATTCACATCCTGGAGGAAAAACGTATAAACGTAAGCATTGCGATAAATTCTTACTAGTATCTACTCAGTCTTGCGTAACATCTCATGAATGTCCACATCCTGAAGAGAAATCGCTCGATTGTAACTTGTGTGATAAAACGTTCAATAAGCTACCTCATCTTGCACGTCATGGACGAGTTCACTCTGTTGAGAAACCGTTTCCGTGTAAATACTGCGCCAAGCCGTTCTGTGACAAATCCGCTCTAAATGTTCATGAACGTATCCATACCGGGGAGAAGCCGTTCAGGTGTGGTTACTGTGATCAAATGTTTCGCCGTAATACCCATCTTAGAGTTCATGAACGTACACATACTGGAGAGAGACCATACAAGTGTAAATCGTGCGAGAAATCATTCACGACGAAATCAAAGCTCACCAGGCATAGACGCATCCATACTGGAGAGAGACCATACGAGTGTAAATCGTGCGACAAATCGTTCAAGACGAAATCAAATCTCACCGTGCATCAACGCATCCATACTGGAGAGAGACAACACAAGTGTAACTTGTGTGACAAGTCATTCATGACGAAATCAAATCTCACAGTGCATCAACGTATCCATACTGGTGAGAAACCATACAAGTGTAAAGTATGTGGCAAAGACTTCCGAGCAATGTCAACTCTCGCAAATCATCAACGAATGCACACTCCTGAGAGAACCTGATCAAGTGTCAGCTATCGTGACAAGTCTTTCAATGTGAAAAACAACATGGAAGACCATGCAAATACAAACACCATAAAACAGAAAGATTGATTTCAAGATTGTTGAAAGTGCTACTCATAGGCCCGTTTCGAACCACAAGTAGAATAAAATCAATGTCGTTTAAAGCCCGATCCGTTATCCATGCAAAGGTCTCTACTTACATGCTAACTTCAACATAATGCAACGTCCAAACTATTATCATTGCCATTATACTCCGAGTGATATCCACTATTTCATTTCTTGTTTTCCATTGCACTGCTTACAGAAAAGGAACGTGTTTCCATATTTACCATGACACTCAATTGCGCTAAACGTTACTGTATGTTTTTTGGGATAAATCAGTCATGCTAGATAACCGAAACCTACTGCTGGAGCACGCATGCCTGGTACGGATCTTTTCGCTGGAAGAAGTACTCTACTGTTTTCATGTTCGCACATGATGCTAAAGTTTTATTCATGTATGTACTCTTGGTCCCATGTGTCGTCCTGTATAGTAACGAGCTACTTCTTATCAAAACTCTTCAAATAATATCTCACTGTCAATTTGTTTTCTGAAAATGTGTAAACGGGAAATTTGACTGTCACCACCAGAACTCAAGCTAGGGACCCATTCATATGGCCAGCGATGCTCCCTCTTGATAGCTGAGAACGTAAAACATATCTTACTCCACTGCATCAGACCAGTGTGAGGTTGATAGGTTGACTACTAGAGTCACAGTTAGGATGCACCGCCAGTGCTGGATGTGCCAAATGCCAAATACAATAGAGAAGATGGTATTAATATTTTGTGATGCTTATCATAGTGGGACAAAGCCAGGTCGTCGCAACTCAGGGTTTCTCGCTCTAGAATGAGTTTCATGATCATTAGTGTGCAAATTATGGTAACCTATAATGGGCATTCTCACTCTCTTAGTATTGACTTCCATTGATTTTCGCTACACCTAAGCAGTCCAATATTCCTGCATATTTCACTCCTTAGGGCTATATTGACTGCTTATATTTGACTGCTTAGGGGTTGCGCAGTTGAACGGTGCCTAGTGCAGCATTGTCACTGTGGTGCAACGGTTTTGCAATCATAAAACAGGGATTCATGAGGTTATCGTTCTGGAATTTGAAATACGGACTGTTTGTCGTGATAAATCTAATATTGACTTCGTACTTGGTCAGTATAGGAAATATAAGCCTTCTAAAAGATCTCGGCCTCGCCTCGGTCTTTTACTCGGCTTTTATTTCCTATAGTGACCTCGTACTCAGTCAATATTAGATACATGTAATAACCATGTGGCAAGGAACTAGATTTTTTCCATCTCTGCACTCGGAAAAGTTTGAGCTCGTACGACACAAGAAATACAGGAAATGATATATTTTCTATTATAAGCGCCATGCTTATATTTTTTCAACACCCCTCTACCCCGGGCTTATATTGGAGACCGCGATTATATTGGAGACCGTGCTTATATTTTTTCAACCAATATAGAGCAAGAAGAAATACATGCTAAATATCATGCAGGCAGCATTGATTTCCACCAAGACCGTGCTAATAATAGAGACTGTGCTTATAGTGTTTCGAAAGGTGCTCACAGTGTGCTAGTATTAGAGACTGTGCTAGTAATGGAAACATGTGCTTATAATAGAGAATATACGGTATGACATATTTTCCACGAGGAGCTGACCTTCCCTTCTGTATGATTGGGTGCATTTCATTCCCTGCGAGGACACTGTTATTGACTATATTTGGACTCACAGCTGTGGGATAGGAATAAATTTCGTTACTCTAACTGCAATGTAAGGTTAAAGAGAATCTCTTCAACAGTCCTTAAAATTGATTCGGTGAGGCACATTCCTGACTGGCGTTTCCAAGACCATTGCTCACAGATCTAGGGCTGCACAACACGCAGATCCTACTTCAGTGACTAGATCGTCTACACAGAGTCATAGTTCCTCCGCGCATTTCATTGCACTGAAGTGTCACTGAAGCCGGGACAGAACAAGAACGCATCCATACTGGAGATATGCCCATACTGGAGATATGCCTTTTCGGTGTGCGGAATGTTCGAAATCTTTGGCCAAGCACTCCAACCTAATAGTCCAAGAAAGAATCCATCCCTTAGAGAAACTGATCAGGTGACAGCGCTGGTGACAAATCCATCAAAGCGAAAACAGAATTTGAAGACCATGCAAATACTAACAGCCAAAGGTTTGTTTTTCCAGATGTTTAATTTAGGTCTCCATGCAAATTTCACTGCTTACATGCTGACGTCAACACATGTAAAATCAATAATATTATCATTGTATTGCAGTTAATATCTACAGTTTAATTTTATGTTTTCCATTGCAGTTCTTACACAAAAGGAATGTATTTACAAATTAACAAGGAATCTACGTGGAGATAAAAGTTTAATAATAGCTATGAAAAGTATGAATGCCGCAGACATCACCACGCAACATGACAATTTGCTCAAGGTTTTGTTTTGTGTGTTTCCAAAATCGATTTTCACGCTCCGATCATCAGTGGAAATACGGAACTAAAGAGATCGGCTGGTGGTGATGGTGATAAAACGGACGAGGAGGAGTCAGGTGGCAGGGAAGGTGATGGAGCCGATGAGGGTGAAATTCGTAAGAAGTCAGCTGTGTACTTGCATTTGTTATCTCGTCCCGATTGTTTGAGTGTGTATGATGATTCCGACTTCTCTGTACTGTGTCGTGCCCGTTATGTCCAGCAGTTGAAGGTCCTTGAAGCTGTTTGTATTCGTACGCATAAGCCCGACTTGTGTAAGCAAAAAGACCATAAAGGCTCCGGGCCCAGACGGCATCACTAATCTGGTATTAAAGTCCCTTGCGCCCTCAATAGCATACCCATTATGTCTGATTTTCAACCTCTCATTTCGCACTGGTCGTTTTCCCTCTGCATGGAAAACAGGTAATGTTTTACCGATCTACAAGAAAGGGTCCCGCCACGAAGCTTCAAACTACCGTCCGATATCTTTACTGTCCTGTGTTTCCAAACTCTGTGAGCGCGTTTTCTAAGACCAATTGTACTGTCATGTCTCGTCACGTTTGAGTTCAGCTCAGTCCGTATTTCGCAGAGGCGATTCTACCACCCTCCAGCTGACGCGCCTGGTGCAATTAGTGTGTCGACATCGAGATGCTGGAGATCTAGTCGGGATTTGTTTTTTCGATCTTGCAAAGGCCTTCGATACCGTCTGGCACCGGGGGCTTTTGGCCAAGCTTCGTGGATCATTTACTGTAGACGGCAATCCTCTGCTATGGCTGACATCTTACCTAACTGGGAGAACGCAGTACGTCACGGTACATGGAACGTCCTCAGCCGACACAACAATACTATCCGGAGTTCCCCAGGGTTCCATCCTCGGCCCCCTTCTTTTTATTTTATACGTCAATGATCTGCCCGCAGCTGCCCCGGGCACATCACTGTTCGCAGACAACACAACGCTCCTACGGGCATCTCCTAACATCACTGGCCTGATGAGGAACCTAGCTAACGGGATTCAAAGAGTTATTTCCTGGATGTCGTCTTGGCGGTTATCGCCCAATCTGTCTAAAACTAAAATCATGCTCTTTCCTTCTCAGCCCGATGTTCCGCCCCTCCTCCATCCCACTTTCCCCCAGCCTATAGACATAGTCTCCAGCCATAAGCATCTTGGCATTTTCATTGACTCTAATCTTTCATGGGAACCCCACATCGATTACATATGTAAACGATCAAGTTCATCTTTAGGAATTCTCTCTTCTCACTGTTACCATCTCCCAATCTCTTGTAAACCCCTCTTTTACTCAGCTTACTTACGCCCCATTTTTGATTATGCAGATACTGCTTGGGCTGGAATTTCCAAAACCCGTGCTGCCAAGCTCGAGATTCAACACAAAAAAGTCCTCCAAATCCTCCTCCGAAAACCCCGCATGCTTCCATCTTCCACCCTTTATGCCCTTGCCGACACTTCCCCTTTGTCTAAGAGACGTAATTCACATCTTGTCACCCTTATCCATTCTCTCAAACTCAATCTGTGTCCACCTCACCTCCACTGTTTCAACTGGTTCTCTTCCCGTAGCACGAGAAACTCCCTTTCCCTTCCGAAACCTAAGTCCTCCTTTCTACTTCACTCTCCCTTTTTTATTGCTTACTCTGCGTGGCTGGCACTTCCCCAAGAAGCTAAGGACCTTTCTTCCCTCCGCCTTTTTAAGAGCCTTGTCGCGCCTTGATTTTGATTTTGTGTTTCTGATTTGGTTGCAATCACTGCTTATCCATGCCGGTTCCTTTTTCTTCTCCTCCCCTTCTCCCTGCCTTGCCGTGGTTGGCTAACACCCTCTCTCTTTGTATTGGCCGGTGTTCTCACTGTGCTATGAGATGCTGTAATAAATAAATAAATAAAATAAATAACATGTTTTAGCACTTAGGTTATTTTCGTGAGTTTGCACCCCGTGTTCATGAGTTGTTTCTGCACTGTTCATGCCCGTTTGTCACACTTACTCTTTATTTTAGTTCTCACTTTTTGTAATAAGCGGTGGTTTAAAGTAACAGTTTATTTAGATTTGAACCCATCGATTGTTCACTCTTCCACTTATTCATCCTTCTCCGACTATGGCTCAACCCGCCGCTCCAGCACCCGTTCCCGCACGCCACGTGCATAATTGGGCCACACCGGCGAAGTATGCAGGTCGCCTGGAAGATAACTGGGCAGCCTGGTATGCCCAGTTCCAGCAGGTTTCCGCGGTCAACCAGTGGACACCGGCGGAGCAGAGCCAGTTTCTAGGCCTGTCGCTTACGGGCGACGCACAATTATATTACCAAAGTCTACCGCAGGCGGTTCGTGCGGGCCAAATTGCTCCGCTCGCCCAAGCTCTCGCCGACCGGTTTGCCCCTGCACAGCGCGCGGAGCTGCACCGCGCAGCGCTGAAAGCCAGCCGCCAAGGAAAGGGCCAAACATTGAGTGCCTTCTGCGAGGAAGTAGGGTCAACCACCAGTCGCGCATACCCGAACATGGCTGGGGCCGATAGGGACCTGCTCGCCTGGGATCAGTTTTTAGACGGCCTAGACTCCCGGGCAACCCGCATCCGGGTAAAGGAACTGCA